ATTTTGGACAAAGTGAATCATCCTGTAGGCTCTACAGAAAGGGAAGTAAGACTGGAAGTCACAAAACAAATTGCCACGTCAGTGATTTTAACATCACTAGCTGTATTGCATTTGCGTACTCTTCTGTTCTCATGGTTTTCTTATGCTTCCTTACAATCTGCTCTCTTTTCCTGAAGTTTATAGCACCGTTCGATTTTTGCTCATGTGGATGGACACGCGAGCTTGCCAAAGCCTGCTGCGCGTTCTTTATACCGGTCCCTGTGGTGTGGCTAGACCAGGCCCCTTCCTTCGGTTGTCTCCCGCTTCTGCTCTTCAGTTAACTTTGACTTTGGACTTAAACTCTGCATATCTCGTTTCAGAAAAAAAGAATAGTTTTAGGTGTATCATACGCATAAAAGCCACGATAGGTTTCCTTGCCAAAATCGTTCATAAGTAACTAAAAATTAGCGGGTGGGTTTGGTGGGGGGGGTTCTCCAGTCTACTTGATGCTCACCATCCCCTTCTCAGATTACCAACAGCACACCAGCCAGAACCTTGATCTATTTTTTCGTTAACTGTTAAATCAGCAATCTAACCAATTGACCTTTTCTTTGGAAAAAAGAAGAAAAAAGAAAAAAAAAAAAAAGGCATGGAGCACGTGTTCTCTTTTCCCCCCATTGTGTAAATCAAAACAACAAAAAAAAGTGTAAGGTCTGAGCGCGGTGACAATAGGCAATTCTCATAATTTCCACTTCTTTTTGAAATTATGGAACGTGGGCTGGAGGAAACAGTAGCAGGAAACGAGTAAGTGTAAACCCAGAGAAAAGGAGAAAGGGAGGAAAACAAAGGGAACCAGAGGAGGAACGCTCATAAATAGGCAGAGGCAGGACCAAAGAAGCAACACGGGGGGTGGCGGGCCGGGAGCCATGCCACTCTCTGGCAAACGTCTCGTTCCAGGTGGGAAGTACTCGGTGGCTGGCTGGGGCGTCGGAGGGCTGGGGAGCAGGGGAGCGCTCCGGGAGAGGCTGCAGGCAACTTTGTTCGCTCTGGATTTGGGAAGAAGCAGCCGCTCCCATTCGTTGCTCTTTCCACTCCCCTGCCTGTTTAGCACTGAAGTACAGCAGGTAACACAGGTTAACCGCTGTTGCAGGGTACGCATCTTGGTCACAAAGAAAATACTGTAAATGTAAAAATGCTATGTAGTACTGAGAGCTCAGGTGAAAGAGTTTAAGGATGTATTTTAAAATGCTGCTCATCTTTCCCACGTAAACCAACCGTGGATTGTTTTAATAGGCCTCTTCCAATTTATCCGTATTTTAGTTTCCTGTGCAACTGGGCTTAAATGCATTCTTTAAACAAAAAATAGTAAACCAAAGAAATCCTATACTTCAGAAAACTCTTTGTAACCAGCCTGTATCAATTACTCTTTCATTTCTTTCCTATTGAAACGTTATTCACCAGTTCTCGGTTCTGTTTCCAGACGTGCACAACATGTAAGATCACAGCCATTAAAGCTACGGCCTCTGTTTGTGCCATTTAACTCCAGGTGTGATGGGGACGGGTATCTGCAGAGGGCAACTCCAAGCATCCAGGAGCTGAATGTTCCTTCGCTGGTTCCTTGCCTTAGGTATAGTAAGTCAGGGAAGGGGAATGCAATGTAGGCCTAGGAGTACATACGAGTAGAAATAAATTGGTAAAGTTCTTGATTTTATCCCATAATGAACGATTACAAAATTAAGGTAAACTTTATGTAAAAAAAAATCCAAACTCATTACAGGTGCCACTTAGACAACTCAGCTGGACTTTTACCTGTAGCAACTCTTGGTAAGACTCCTCGGATCTGTGCACAAACAGCTGAACTGGTGCTTCTCCACCTGCTAGAGGACAGTCGCGTTTGGGACGTGAGAGGCAGTATGTTCCTCTCGCTCAGTGTGCTTGGGTTTCTCTTCCAAAAGCCAAAATGCCTGAGTTTCTGTTGCTTGTTGTGGGATAACTTTAAGCCCCTACAAAGTGATTTTGCCCGTACTAGTATGTATCTTGCTCAGTTTGGGCACAGATGTCATGCGAGAGCTTGTTTAAAAAAACAAAAAAACCTGTACAAACCAAAACCAAGAAACCCCAAACTTTTTTTTTTTTTTAAAGCTATGCCCCAAATTACTGTCATGTTTGTTGCAGTGATGTAAAGATGTGTCTGACTCGCACCATTCCACATTCTTAAAAGAAAGCTAGTTGTACCCACTCACCTGTTACGTGGCCCCAGGATAACTGGTGTTTTAAACCAGAGGATTAGCCTCCTTCATCCTTGACCGCTTTTTTGTACGATGAATTCCTCTTTCACAGGGGCCAAACGCTGCCGTCCCATCGCTGTGCGGAACTGCAGCTTTCATAAAGCCAGCGCCCCCTTCGGCTGGACTCGGCGGGGCTGAGGCAGGAGACGCGTGCTTAAGGAAAAAATGTAGATTATTGACACAAGTTTTGCATCGGTGGGTTCTGAAAAAGGGAGGTAGGAGGGGTAGTTCAGTTGCAGGCCTCTGTAGGATTATAAGCCTTCGATGTAATATTCTCCAGTTTTTCATTCATGAGCTTTTGCCACTACTCTTCCTTTCTCCTTTTTTTCTTTCTTTTTTCTTTCTTCCCACAGGGAGCCCTTCACCCAAGTCCCCGCTCTCAACCCCCAAATAAATATTTTTTCAAACGCGGCGGCTGTGAGAGGTCAGCCGGCTTTAACCGCAGCCTGACTGTTACTGCGGTGACTTGCAATACAAAGCCAATACAAAGCATTCCGTTGCTGAAAATGAATTTTCTGTTACCTTAGTTGCAAATTCTTGAGACTGGGGAGGAGGGGGGGGGATCCTTCTGTGCCCAGCAGGTAAAAAATAGGGTATTTATTCTTCCCAAGAAGCAAAGCAATGAAATACCTTTTCCCAGCACATTACTTACTTACAATCTGAATATGTCACGTTCAGCTATGGAGCTGTGAGCGTTCCGTAACGGCATGGTTTTTTCAGGCACCAGTCCCACCCAGGACAGGCTCTATACTACACTCTTTGGGAATTTAATAAATACACTTTCTAAAGAAACTCCAAGCATGACCACAGGCACAAATTGCATGGAAAAAACATGGTTTTCTGTACTTTTGTGAGATGTTGGTGCTGTCGGGTGGTACTGTCCCCATTTCTGGTGTATTTTTCCTTTACTTGCTACTACTTATCATTGTGTCATGTTTTTAGGTGCGAAATAGCTCTTTTTTTTTTTCTTTTTAAAGCAGTATCTGGTAATTATAAGCTTCGTTTATGCTTTTCAGTTCAGTTACAGGTATACAGAATATTAAGTAATGGAAAAGCTGCATTACTGATTTGTGAAGAAAGTTAATGCATTTTTAATGTAAAATTTCACGTAAGAATCCACTCAAGACCATAATGATCACTTAAAATAATGTAAAATAACGCATTAGAACCATTCCCTTTAAAAATACATACACTTTTAGCTTTGTGGCTTGGTTTATTCACTTTTTTTTCGCAGAGAAAACTCAGCAGCTTGCCTTATGCTAACCATTGTACAGTAGGGTACGAACCATCAAAGCTGCTGACGTTCAGCGATGGAGGTAGTAGTAGTTTGTTGCTGCCCTTACCAATTATTCTCTCCTCACCTCACACGGCAAAGGCAAACGGCTTCATGGTGGCAGCCATTTCTGAAAGGGACAGCTAATGAAGGTGTTGGAAAAGGCTACAGAAAAAGAACGTAATTTGCAGGCTTTCATCTGGAAATCCCTGGCAGCATTGCTCCGTGCAGCGCAGGAGCCCATCCTCTCCTCCTCCCCTCCCCTGCCAGGTCACCTTAGGAAAATATTTTCCTGTAGTTCTTCAAGCTTAAAATCCAGTTGTCTGTTCAGCTTTGTTGTGTTTCATTATGGAGTGTGTCAGGTAATCCCTCTTGCTTTAACAACAAAAAAAATAAAATAAAAAAAGGTATTTTAAACTAGTCCAAAGGTATGGTCATGTATTACTGTAACAAAGATCATGGTTTTAAGTGTACTCCATTTTGGTTTCCACCATGAGCATCTAATCCCTGTAACAATGTTGTATGTTTATTTAAAGTATATATATATATATATATATAAACTAAATGTCAGATTTTTGCATTAACTAAGATTTTTTTAAATTTGACTATGAACTTTGAGTACTTTATTTCACAAAAAAAAAAAAAAAATCTAAAAATACTTTCCTGGAGTGTTAAGTTTCAAAATTCAATACTATATTGGTCAAATCTCAGTTTAAAATATGTAGCTAACATTGTTTTCTGATATCGAATGTACATATTTGTAAAAATCAATTCTTTTGTATATTTTTGCGAAAATGTAGTTCCCCAAAAGATACAAAAGATTTAATAAAAAAGTGCGTTTATGTTACTGCTCAACACTTTTCATCATTATAACACCACATAAATGTATTTATGGCCACCTCCTGGCATTATTTGTTGCAGTGTCAGTCACAGGAACTTTCTCAAATGAGATCATGAGAAAGCATGCCCGGGGTCAGGTGTACGGGAAGGAAAAAGGGTCCTTCAGAAGGAGATCCAGAGGGGCACTTTCTGTCTCCCTGGTGTACATGGAGACATCTGAAACCATTTATTTTCAAGTGAAGCGGTATTTAATTCGTAGGCTTTTTAAATGGAGCACAGTACCTTAATTGTTTAATTGTTCTTGCTTCTAAAGCATTTTTGTTCTCTTGTCTTTGTTTTTTCCCCATTTGAGAAAGTGTCATCAGGGGGATGATGGCTATTACACGGAAAAAATGCCCCAAAGACAGACCACTTACGCTCTTTTCCCCGTGAGCGGGTGAAGAGGTCAGTCGCCATGTGCTAGGACATCGGTTCTGTTGTTGTATGCGCTCTACCAAACAGCTGCTGAACAAAAAAATACTTCTGGTGTGAGCTGAACACAGGAATAAGCTTTCTAAGACTTACTTCTTCAACACACCTCATCTTAAGCAAGAAACTTTACCCAAATAGAACACAAAATGTGCTCTGAAATTTTTTAATGGAATTTAAAGTAAAACTTCTCTTACACAGACGTTTTCTTCTTACAGTGTAAAAAAAATGTAAAATTGCTCAAACTTACAAACTTGGAAAATTAGAGACATTTCAAGTATGCAATCAACCTCATTTTATGAAAACAATGTATAGTAAAAGTTCAAAATGCATGGATTTTTCTAACATCCTGTGCCCTGGTGGTTCATCTTCCTTTCCGCTGCTGTCCGAAGGAGGCAGAGTTTAGTCCCAAGTTGTATCATCATCATCATCATTCACTGAGGGGAAAGAGAAAAACAATTCACACGTAAGCAGCAATCCTACCAGTCTGGACAGATGGTTTGAGAACTGCTTTGCATCCTGCCCCTGTAACGATGAAGACCTTTGCAGACGAGACTGGTTGGAGTGAAAGGCTGAAGTGATTTGACTGTCTGTCTTTAAGACAGACTACTGACTGCAGCTTTGGGACGTTTGCTACCACTTCATGAAGTCATGGACAGCTGACAGGAATGAGCTGTTCTGCCAGAAACACTCCGAGAAACATCTGAACATTTTGTGGAAAAGACAGCTTGGACGCAAGATAAAACAACAGCAAAGAAGGGCTGGTGTTGGATTTTCTGCTTTGTTCAAATAAAACTCGGAAAACCCAACACGTCCAGGTCAGGATTCCAGTGACTCTGCCGTATCCTAGCTGCAGGGCACTGGGTTTTCAGTGTTGCATCACATTAGTTAATGTTTATAACTACTAAAAACAAACAGTACAGAGTTCTCTTTAAAAGAAAGATGCCTATAACAGGTATCTTTCTTTGTAGTTCATCACACACGCATTACTCCTGTGATTAAAATTACATTTGCGACCTAAGTCACAACATACACTCTAAACCTAACCAAGAACAATAAAATTGGAAAAAAAAAAAAAAAATCTCTCACCTGGTTTGAGTTCGCGTCCATTTCAAGGCATGGCGTGGAGGTACAGCGATAGTTGGATGGTAAAACGTGCAGTCTGGTCTTGTACACTGGGTGTTAAATCTACAATGCTGAAAAGGAAAGCGTGTCAGAAGAGGCTACTGAAAGCTGGCTGAACTCCTGAAGAAGCTAACCTAGAATGCCTTACACGCAGATTTGTAATGCCCTGTGCCAGATCTGATAGATGACTGCATCAACAGCTACACAGACTAGTGCCATCAGTTCAACCCAACGACAAAAGGAAATCCTGTGTCGGAAGTATTAATTAAGAGTTAGATGCTCCAAAACTGCCACTGCGCTGACAGGTGGACGTTCACAGAGCTTCGTTTCAGCTGATCTGTGTGTGTGAGTTAGGAGCATGACAGGGAATTATCTGAAAGGCGGAGGAAAAGCCAGAGTATCTGGCTAATAAGATCTGGGAACAGAGTCCTGGGGACGCAGTGCATTTCAGACTTGTTAGGGCTTGAAAAGCACGAAACTTTTAGTGCTTTTAAACTTTTTAGCACTAAACTGCCTAACCATATGCAGGGACACAATTCTATAGAAGTACCCAAGTTATAAACTCTTGTACTATAGAAGTTACATTAATATACTCCAGGGTAACTGGGCAATCTTTAAAGTTTTGTATATTGCAGCACATCGAATGAAGAGTCAGGAGTCTGAAACGTATTCCTCCCGTACAGGCTACGAGATGTCCTCCTCCTCTGCCCCAGCGTCCTGGCTGGGCAGATTGTGACAAGTGCTACGGCTGGCTGCCTGAAACTCCCCAGAAGCATCTGGTAGAAAGATTATTTAGAAATATAATTTTCCAAATTCTTTAAGTCACTGCTTTCGCATATTCTCTTTCTGAGCCAAAGTTAAAATGTGAAAAGTAAAAGCAAAAAGTGTGAAACGCTAGCGACATTTCCTGACCCAAAGCAACATATTTCAAGTATCTTTCTAGAAAGGAAGGGAAGAGAGAGGAGATAATTCTTACTTTTGGGTGGTAAAATGGACATTCCATTTTCTTACAAGCAGGAAAAAACTTGCACAGCGGACTACTGGAGGAGACAGACGGCGTGGGTAGTGGTGCTAATAGCAGAAAAGAAAAGAACAGGAAGGGAGCCTGGATCAGAATAAACTGCTTTTTTAATACAGTTCCACACCAACTTAAATATATCGATCTTTCCGCAAGAAATTATGTTTTATAATACACCAAAGTTCTGCAAGAAATACGGGAAGCATGTCACAATGCACTAAGTGGGTCTCATCCTGGGGCGGACCAAGACTATCAGGTAATCGTCCGTCTGGGTTCTCCCCCATTTCAGGGCAGAAGGCACCACGGTCACGGCAATGCTTCCAACAGATCAAGCAGAGATTCTGGCAGGCAGGCACATTCAAACGTTAAATTTAGACAGCAGCGAGCCTGTCAGAGTTTAAGCTAACCGGCCTGAAAAGCGCAGGCAGCGCACTTCCCAGGAATGCAGAGGAAATGATACAGGAGCTAAGCACATTGTACTCTGCCTTCTGGCAAAGTGACAAAACCGCATCGTACCATGACTAAGGGCTAAGCCACTTCCTAAAGATCACGACACGTGGAGTAAAGGCCCTCCACCTTGGCACTGTTCAAAGGCTCGGGAATACCAACCCGTAATCCAAACACAGCTATTGCCTTCACCGGGTAACCTCATCCCTGAAAGTCATCTCATCGTTACATAAAGTTAACTCCTACAGTGTCATTAAAGAAAAAAATGTTCATACAAAGACAGAAACTTCTGTTCCCAATTTGTGTCACAAGCTCTTGGTACAACATGCATCCAATTTAAGAAACAAATTGGAGTAAAACTGCAATGCTGGCTAATCCCTCCAGAAGAAGGGACTGCTTGTGCAAGTCACCGCTTTGGCCTTGCATAGATTTCATAGGGACTCTGGCGTAAGAGCGTTCAGCGATTTTTCTAGTAACGGTTTTTGCAGTAACACTGGATTATTACTCTTCATCTAGCATTAAGAGTTGAAAGAATTAAGTCAAATCAAGCAAAAAATTATTTTTTCACCAGTCAGTTTCTGCTTCCAAATACACTGTTTTCCCTTCAGCACTGTCATTTAAAGCTCAGAAAAACAAGAGGTGCTCACCTGGTTTAGGAGGTGGATGGGGGGTTCGTCGACTGGCATGAGTGTAAGGACAGTCTGGCTTAGTGCACTTTGCATCGTATTTACAGTTTGGATGGATGAACAAGCATTTATCAGCAAATTTGCAGTTAGGAAAAACTCTGAGGGAAAAGAAATTAAGCCATAAGCCCATACTTGGAGCCAAATCCCCAAGCAGCTGTTGCGCACGAAGGCCAGAATATCAGAGAAAGCCGGAACTCCAACAGGGTTTGCGCACGTGTGCTAGCTGCTTCCAAAGCAGGGCGTGCGGGTGTAGCGTACTAGCTGTACGCAAACAGATCAGTATTCATTTTCCCCACGAACACTCTTTACATACAGTAAATAACTGAACTACCTCACACTCGGTGGAGTTTGGTAGCGAGCTACTTGTTGCAAGCTAAGATGCGTTATTCTTGGCGTGCAGCGCAGAGCAGCAAAGGCACTGTGAACTCAGACCTTTGCACAGAGGGGCACAGAACTGCCTAAGTAATATGGTTCATTTACTGAAGGCAAAGTGTCATTTTGAACGTAGTTATGCCAGATTTAAAAAGAAAATTCGAATGTCTGTGTAAATGAAGCTACCCAATCTAGTAACATTTATCTCAAAACGGAAACGATTTTTGTAGACTGTTGCTGCTTGTGGAACAGAAGGCAAAGGTATGGCACACGTTCAAGAGCTTTCAAATAAAAAATTACTGCATTACCATGTAATGGTATCCCAACATGTTCAAAAGCATTTTGCAGCTAGCAGAAGAGTCCCTCTTGTTTTAAGACGACACCAATTCCCACATCTCTCAGCAACACAAACACACCAGCCTGTACCCTAAACTAAGCTTTCTTCTGCATGAGCACAGCTGTGACTCTACTTACTAAAGACACCACTGCACTCCGACACATGGTAGATGGGAGGAAAACAGAAGAAATTACAGTGCGATAATCTAGCTGCGATCCCTGCCCTAACAGACTTACACTGCCTTGGAATATTTCCCAACACAGAAGGCAAATTTGTAGCATCAAAATAAAAATAACAGGTCAAGTGGATGAGCTTTGCACTACTCACTTGCAAGGTAGTGTGGGGTGATGGTACACACATTCATCTCCATTTTTACAGGCAGGCCAGTACTTGCAGCGCTCAAGCACCTTCTCCTGTTTTTGCAGCACATTTAACTGTTCCATATCCACTAGGAAGGAAAGAAAAAAGCAAAAAAAACCACAAATTGGGACCTTTATGATTCTCTATGCAATTTGGCATACACAATATAGCATAACTGAAATTCACAATATTTCCTATTCTTTCTCTCCTTTTAACCCGATTCTTGATAAGCCTCTATTTATCAAAAAAGTCATGACAGTAAAAATTTATGTACAATCATATTATCTGAAGAAAACTTCCAAAACTACAAGGAGAAAGAAGTCATAATATTGGACTGACAGCTGCCTTTTGGTGACAAAAGATCAAACTTGCACGTTTACAAGCAAAATAAATTAATTTTCTTCACAAATCCAAATTGAGGTGCAAAGTCAAACAGACTAGATCTTGATCAGACAAGACAGAGATCCTTCAACTGAACCCTTGTTACGACTGTTCGGCTGAGCTATGTGGTAACAGTAGCTATGCTTCCTTTCTCCAAGATAGTTTTGGCTCTAGAAAATTACTTCAAGAGCTAAAGTAAAAAATCCATTTTTACACTGATCAGATGCAACTTAAGAACTGAAAAAGAACCACTTTCATGTAATTTGCTCAGACAGATCCCACATTCACTTCAGTTACCTGAACCCAGACGCCAATCCAAAAAGCATTTTAAGAAATTCCAAGCTGAAACATTCAATACCTTCACTACTTTTAGGGGAACCTGGGACTTTGACTCTATCCTATTTAACATTATCTCTAAAACCTCATTCTGCAAATTCAGGCAATTAAGCATATCCCTTCACTGTTGTCTTATTGTCCCAAAACCGCCTAAACCTTTGGCCTTTCAAAGCTTTCCAGGACGGCTAAGCTTACCTCGTTAACCTCACTAGTGGCACACTCGCTCCAGCTTCATTCCATCCTCAGCCTCATTTATGCCTCCTCCTTGCAAGGCACCAAAGCCAAATAATGCTATCCTACCGTAAAACCACATCGCTTGTACAAAGCACTTCCACGCTGACCTGATTCTGTGTGAACTCAGTCACGCCTGTGCTACTTCTGGCTATATTTCATTGTCCTAGTAAAAATGTGCCAATGGATATATAACATGCTGTTTTTCTTTAAGACCGCCTGATATGAGTAGTACTTCTGAAGCCAGTGGGACTGAAAGGACATGGACTTAAAACATCTTTTGCTTTTCCCCCCATGGTTCTCTCATAATTACATTACACATTTACAGCTGGATCCACGAAATCTAAGTTCTCTGTATAGCATCAAATACTATTCTTTATTTAGTTCAGAAAATTTGGATGCACTGCTACTATGGAAAATAAAGGTCTTTTCATAAGAAAACTAAAAAAATGAATCCAAGCGTGACCTTAAGGCAAGTATTCAACAGGTCTATGACAAAACAGTATCCTCTATATTTTTCATCACCATTTCAGCATTCTAAACACTTCAAACATAGGCTTCAGCAAGCAATTTCCCATGTTAGTCAAATGGTATCCTGCATATATAATGTTTGAGTAAAATCATACACTGTTTAAGTCCTGCTTTCACAGATTCTAGCAACTTGACTCTACCAACACCTTATACTTCACATGCTCCTTTTGATATCACAAATCTGGACAGAAACATTAAGATTAATACCAAATGATTTGTTTTTTAAAGTTCAAGGCATGGCAAAGCGTTCATCATAAAATCTCCTGTCCATCAGCATGAGAACAAATGATAATGGGTCAAGAAGAAGTGCAGATTTCTGGCAACGAAGACAAAGTACATTTTCAAAAGAAAAAAAAAAAAACACAATTTCACCAATACTGAGATGTGTGGAGAATTACCTATGTGCCATATTGCTCTAGTTTATCAAGATAAAGGCTTCTAAAGATATGGCCCCACTGAACTACCACATTCATTTGCCTAAAGAACATTCTAATTTGAAGAATAAGCGCCATCACTTTGATTTCTTAAGAATGATATATCCAAGAGTTCTATCCACAGTCAAACCACCACATTAACGTTAGATCCTGTTGGTAAGCATAATTACCATCACAGCTCTCTAGCTGCCTGGTTACAATTTGCATCTGCTGTGCTCGAAGGCCTTTTAATCCTTTGCCGACACACATACTTTGGTTAACTGGCTTTAACCCTTCAGTTACACACATATCTTCCTCTTCTTGATCAGAAAGGTATCCTGGCGGACTGGGCACACCATCCAGTGTCACGATGAACTTGGGACTAGCAGGTTTCTCTGGCTGTGCAAGCTGGTCTCTATCAAACAAAGAAATGTAGTAAAAATAAGATTTTCTCACTCCAGAGGTTTGAGTAAAAGTGAGCTGCACTAGTAGCTAAAAGTAGTACAAGCTAATCTATGGAGAGTCATGCAGTAACAAACCTTCTTTTAATACTACTACTAATATACTCCAATTAACAGCGTGCCTTCTAGTCTCTCTGAAGTGCTAATAAGAAATACAGCTTTCAGCAGCATACAACAGAGAATGTAGCAAGTACATTTCAGTTTGTTGCATTCCGCTCAACAGACATCCGAAAGCTCATTTACAGACACAGTTAAATAAAGGGAAGTGATTCATCTTTTGAGGAATTTACAATTTTGAGACAGAAAAAGTGAGGGTAAATACCACTCTTAGAATCAGAAACCTTTTAACACACAAAACAGGTGTCTCCTCAAAAATCCTGAACAGCGCATTATGGAAAAGTGGGTGTAAAAGTTTTTAGGGCTAGGAAGAGAACTGAAATACTGGCATTAAGACCTTTGACGCTCAGCCTGATCAAAAGATCAGTCTAGCCTCGTATCCTGTATCTGACAGTAGTCAATGTGGATAAAAGAGAGAGTATAAAGACAGGGGATGCATGTATTTTCTCCACTCTCCCACTGTCCCACCCATTTCACCCAAGGGATTTCCTGAATGGCATATGATTGTAAATATTTGGAAACGCACTATGGAGTTCTCACTTAGACAAACAGTGATATTATAAACTTTGCTTCTCTATGAAATTAGGCTAAAAGCAACTACAGTGTAGAATGCCTTTACAAAGAGAAAAAACCAACACATTAAAAACATCACTAGCCAGAACTTTCAAGCTGAAGCAGTCAAAAATTCATCTATTCACATGCAAAAATTTACCACTCTCCTGTAGCACGGCCACAGTTTTCAACTGTGACATTGCGAGGTTATCCTTTAAGGTTTGTTTGTTCATTGTTGGTTTTATTTTTAATTAACACAGGCTGTTTAAAGCCACTCATGGAAAGGAAACATTAACAGTTCCTCAAACACAGCAGCCCACAGTGATGAAGCGCACCACGTTGTTGTGACTGGTTTTCAACCCTAACACGCAAGATACATACAACTATTTGGTAGCAGGAACTATCAAGGCCTTTAATAGGTTAAGAAAATGGCTGTGCACTGGCCATTGTTCCTTTAGGGAAATGAAAAAACATCCACAACGTATCATTTGAAGCTGACATGAATTTTAAACTTCTCTTGGCCAAACTCACCAGTAAGGATCCTTAAATCACTTGTCCCACATGCCCCTTAACTCTTTGTTGGCTCTACCTGCATGCAGAACATGCTGTTTTCCCTCCAGCACTGAGAGCTCAGGATCCACCACACTCAATATTGCAATAAAAGATTTCTTAAGAAATGTAATCTCCGGGTGAAACAGGTGTAAAACTAAAGGCAATTTAAGCAAAATTATTAACTAAGATTTCAGTAAATCAAAACAGCTATGACAAAAAAAGAGCAGTACTTTTCAGTTCCTCCTTCTTTCTTGCAAACCAAAGACATGCTCAAGCTACAGTTGACCCTGGGAATTATTTTCCATTTAGAAGGGTTTCTGGGAGTTTTTTTGCCCCTGCTTTTTTAGCTCTGCTATTCAATATCAGTCCGTTTTCCATGATGTCACAGATCCTGACTGACTGACAAAGCACAAGTATGACTGAATGACTCCATCGAAACCACAAACAAGCATTTTGACTAATAACAGTCCTGAAAGGAATAACTTTTTACCGTGTCTGTATCAGACGTCCTGAGAGTACTCGTATTGCTTCTGTAGCCCTCTTTCCCAGTTGCTGATTCTGTGGCACTATTTCCTCAGATAACCTGGGCTTCTTCAGGATAAATGACCTAGTATCTGTATGGACCATAGATTCTGCATCATAGTAATCTGAATTGGGAGAAAAATTACACAGAAAAGAGAAAAATAAGGTTGTAGTTGTACTCTTAACTTACAATGTATTTTTTAACATCAATTTACATGGCTGATAAGCTCTAATTTTATTTTGTTTTAATTTCTTACTGGTAGCTTACAGAAAACGTTTTCACTTCCTTGCTTATTCCACAGAAGTGGATCAACAGGAGCCATAGGCATACTAGGCCAGACCGGGAAACTTTGTTACTGGAATGGCTGTGCTGAAACAGCATTGAAGGGGGTCCACACACCCTCAAAATCTCTTAGGCTTTGAACACCTACTGATGTTAACACTTCTGTTCCTTAGAGATGTAGAAACTAGAAAATACTAGAAATCAGTATAATTAATTGAAAAGGAAGTTATATTTTAACATTCACTGACCAGTAGTGTTCAATTTAAAAACTAGCAATTTTTATTTAGGAATAAAACATCACAAGACTTAACCTTGAGTCACTTGCAGAGTATCTTCAATCACAGGATCGATCTGGAGCCGAGAAGAGAGCTCCTTTTGTTCAGCTCCTAAAAAACAGTAATTAGAAGCATATTTTACTGCGTGTCAAAATGAAACTATCGATTAAATACCTGAAGCATACTCTTCTAATTCCTTTGATTAAAAAAACCAACAAAACCCTCCACACTTCTAACAAAAAGAAGCCATTCTCATTGTTATAAACCCCTTTCTCATTGTTTCAGAAATGGTAACAAGTTTTCTCCAGCCAGATGGCATGGCAAAATCTAAATACTGAAAGACTCTAGTCTTTCCCGTAATTGTTGCTTAGTTCAAACTAGGTCTGTGGGTACGGCAGCTTATGAAGACCAAGTTCTTCCTCCTCATTTGTAGAGGTGTTGCCTATTCAGAGAACATACAGACAGGAAAGCAGCCAACTACAAGGGACTACTTTATGGTCTTCTTAAAAGAGGTGAAACAAATCAGAGTAGCACTGTTCTACATTTGACTTATGGTTTGAAAAAGTTTATTTTGCTTTCTGTAGGTTTCCTAAGCAAGCTGTCATTTCCATTTCAACGGCAAAAGACCAAAAACATTTAGCCTAAATATTTTCTGTACATTAATTCAAAGACTGATAAAGCTTCTTCTTATGTACTTTACAGATACAATTTCAACTATTTTGTGTTGGCAGAAAGATTCCAAATACATCTATATGAGAAATAAGAGTCTGAAAAAATAGATTTTTTTTTTAATAATGAAAGTTTACCATTCCTTAACAATGACTGTGAGCTGATGTAACAAAGATCTTACTCAAACCAAATGTTACTCAACAATCTAAATATCTCAACACTTAGCAAGAGTAAACTAACTTCTTCTTACAGAAGTCTGTTTCCACCGTCTTATTTCTATGATTCCTTGTAACACACACACACTTCTTTCTCTGTAACAAAATCATGCTGAAAAGATACTTCAATTGCCTTTAAATGTTATGCCATTTTCCTTCAGGAGTTTCGTAACAGAAGTAAAAACAAAGCTTACTGTTCACAGTTATCTGGGTATCAGCTGTCCTGTAACAGGAAATATAGTACTCCAATATTTACACAAAAAAATAAAACATTAGAACTATTTGTGTGGTAACAATGTGTCAGAAAGAATCTTTTAATACTTCATATGCTGCGAAATTATTCCAAATGTAGAGTATCTTAACTCTCTCACATAAGCTTCATGACATAATTAATCCTACAAGATACTAAGGAAAAAAATGGAAAGGACAGGGAAAAGAGAAGTTATCCCAATATAAATGGATACATTTGCTTACTGCATTTGCTTATGCAAAATCATTCTTCAGTGATATGCCAGGATGCTATACCACCCTTTGCTTACTGATTAATTGCTCTGGGGGGGTGTGCGCACGCGCCGCCTGTATATACATATATCTATCTCACAGCCATGCTTTAGCCAGCTTCTGGGTTTTCAGGGCATTTCCACATGCAACTTTTGAGGCTGACTTAAAAATTAAAAGCATTTCTTTTCTCTGCTCAGCCTGTTGTAAAATGACATTCCCTGGTATAAATTTTTAAAGAACGTTATCAGATAACCTTGAATTCCTTCAACTGTCTGCTCCTTTGGCTCTTCTACTTGAAGCTGAGAACTCAGAGCAGGCAGCCTGTTTTGCACATGGATTACTTCTAACTGAGATTCTTCTGGGCTAATTCGAGTTCTTGGTGCAACTGGAACCGTCTGTTTCTGTGGAACTTTAAATAAAGAGACAATGGTAAATCATTTACATACAACCCAATCACACAACAGAATTATTTTTACATATGGTGCTAAAATAACTCTAATAAATTCCTACACACACACACAAATCCCAAGCATCTGTCTCCAGAAAAATCATCTTTAGCTACCTGTAAAATTCTTAGTGTGAAAGCACATTCGTGCATGTGGACAGAGCACTCTGTGAGTGGCACTTCATAACATCTACTTGTAAGACAAAACAGTATGAGAAGGATTAGAGTGACAGCAGCAAAGTATTCATTCATCCACTTCTACACATAATTGATTTGGTACTGTCTTATGGCATTGAAATCACTTTTCATTCTACCTTCCACATAAACAATCATGGATTATCAATGTGTACTTTTCATACGGTGCCAGCTACCCTATGCTAAGGTGCTTGCAAATAGAGTATAAAACTCGATGACAGTAGACTCAGAATCGTTTAGATTGGAAAAGACCCTTAAGATCATCAAGTCCAAACATAAGCCTAACACTGCCAAGTCCACCACCAAACCACGTCCCTAAGCACCACATCTACACATCTTTTAAATACCAATACATTTCGTAAGTAGTCAAGCAATTTAGTAGTTTACTACAACTATTCTTAGTTAATTCTTCAATTCTAATTTTGGCAGCGATCTTTATTAGCCATCCATACAATTTATTCTGTTTTAAAACCAGCTCACTACATCCCACTTCTAACATGCACGGACATCTCCTCCAATTCAAGAGCCTTTGAACACAGAATATTCCACACACGTCTCATGCCTTTAGATCTACTTATCAGCACCTGTGCAACCTTGAAAATACAAGTAGCGACAAGAAAATAGGGAAGACGTTCACAATGACCATTTTGTAAATATGTTAATGTAGAAGGAAGATATGTGTTTCTTACAGTTAGTTTGCAGGTTTTGAGAGAGAGCAGGCAAGAGATTTTGGATAGCTTTCAGTCGTGCTCCAGATGGCATAAAAGTCATGGTTTAGGTAGTTTAGTGAGTGTTCCTTCCCTGACAATGTGCAATGCTTATGACAAGACTAGATTTATTACCACCCAACGAAATGAAAGCACATGAGATAACAGCTGGATTTGCCCTTCTTCAGCAGAAGTCTCTCCTAGTTAGGAGAACTGAATGCCTACACACAGGCAACTGCTCAGTTGCTCTATCAACTGCAACTCAATACCTAAAACCACTGAACTAAAATTGCAGCCTCACTGTTTAAAGACAATACACGCTCATGTATCAATCGGTGTGTTGCTTGTTATTTTGCACTTCTATTACCTACATCCAGGGCATTTTGATTTTTTGCTGTTTGGCTTTTTTCTCCTTCTCTCTCTGAAGGAAGGAAGAGAGTGCAGAAAGGGAAAAAAGAGCAACCAATTTGATCAAACAACTTGCCGAATACTGAACACTTTCTCCTTGGCAACTATTAACTTCAGAAGACTTCTGGCACTTCCATTTTGTCTCTATACACTTTACAGACTTACTGTCTTGATTAATACATTTTAAACAACTGTTTCCTCTCTTGTTTATGCTTTCATAATTCATCACTGAAGATTAATGTAATGTTCACATGGAAAATCCCTTATGTGTATCACTGACATGAGCTATTTAACATTCTGTTTTATCTCTAAGTGCTATCTTTAGCTCGGATTTATAAAACAGGGCTTGGAAATATTATAGCTTAGCACAAACAAAAATAATGCTAATTACCAGTGGAATAATTGGTTGTTTTCGTAACCGATTCCTGTGCTTCAGAGATTGCTTTCAGTATTAAATTCTTATTGGCCTGTTTTGAAGGTGGCAATGAAGGTCTAAGGGAGATAAAAAAAAATAATTAATTGTACATGAATTGCAACAGCAACTGTGTCCGTGTTAAACACGGATATTTCAACAGGTTAACACAGTTATGCATAACACTGATAGAAAAAATCATAATCTAAAATCACTTTATCTATATTTGTTTTCAGCTTGTTAATCTATTTGCTGAGTGCACAGGGACCACAAAATGCTCTCAGAAATGGAAGTCCAGAGGCATGATTTCACCTCTCAGTTTAAGCTGCTGTAAAACCATGCTGCAACTGAAAGGCACAAACTCTGCCACTCATTTCCTCCCATCTCTGCCCCTCACATGCCTGTTGCTATGTTTGTGTTGGCATGAGTAATTATGCAGCTGCTCTGGGGAGTAAGATCCAGATGAAAACTGACTGTCAAAAATATATTAGTTGTAACAAAAGCTTTCTCTCTGTCTCTGAACATCAACAATAAGGAAGTTTATATCAGATAAATGTGCTGTGGTGCTGAAGATGTATTCAATAAAGTGTATTAGCTTAAAACAAATCTCATACAAGCTAGCACTGTAGATCAGTAGAACCATCTCTTCCATAGTTTAAATGTTCTTCTTCTTATTGCTGAAAATCTGATACAACCCATTGATGCACTTTGACTGACACCTGACATTCAGACAGAATTAGGGAGCAGAAAAAAAGGAAAAAAAACTCTGAAGTCTTTTGAAAAGTTACAATCACCTTAAAGAACAAGTGATAATTCTATTTGAAAACTATTCTCGAAATAAAAAGACAGCAATTAAAACTCCCGGAAAATTATTTTACCACATTAAATATCTGGTCTGAAACATGCCACCATTAATGTTCTTTTGCCAGTAAACTTTTCCCAAATAGTGTAAAATTTCACATTCCATTGCAGCTTATGCACAATAATAAAAACAGGTTACAAAATCAGAGGAAAAAAGGTGGTATAAACAGACATCTCACCCACAGAGTTGTGAGACAGTACAAAAAAATATAAAAATGGCTTACTGAATTTTGTCTGTCAACTTTCAAAACTGCAAACAGTTTTCCCCAACCTCCACTTTCAAAGTTTTTGTTCATTAAACTCATTCTGGAAACCACACAGAATCACTGAGATCTTAAGTACCTTCTTTCTGGCTTTGCAGGTACAGACACACTGCTGGAGATGCTTCCTGTTCGCAATCCATAGTCTTCCTCCTCCTCCTCATCTTCCCCATCATTACAGAACTTTTTCACTTTGACTACTGAGCTTACAACAGGCAACCGTCTCTTCCTGGAGCTTTCTTCCTATACCAAACAGAGCAGCCAAAACAATTCATTTAGCATAAAACATGTATTAATAAGCCAGCAAAGAAAATATTGCAATTCTACCTATAGCCGGAAGATGGAGACCTTCCATTCAAGTTGGATGAGCCTAGGACTACTGTACCGTCTGCAGAAACAAGTGACACAACTAAAGAATATGAAAATCAGACAAATTTACACTGAAACATCTCATTCAAAATGTAACTGTAAATAACATTTAGAAAAGGAGAAGAAAAAAGTCTGAAGTACAGACAATTTAGCCAACATCCACAGAAAAAGCAGGGTTTTCTGAAGAAACTCATACTACTCTTCAAGATGCACCTGTTGAAAGCCTGATAGAGAGAAATGAAATCAGGATGAATTACTTTCTCCTCTGTATCAACTTGTTGTTGTTTAACTAATTTCAGATTAGCGTAAGGATTCATTTCTAGCAAGCTGACATATTCCAAAGGATGCTAATATCTATGCAGAGCTAGGATGGTCCAGTTTAGGCAGTGCAAGGTCCCTGTTCTGACACTGTGGTTCTGACACAGCCACTCACCACCACCATGGTGCCTGAGGTAGTGACAAATTTAAATGCTAGGCTGCGTGAAAGCATAGAAGAAAGCACACGTCAATAATTCCTGTAGGAACCACCGCTCAGCACTGAACTACATAGGAGCACAATCAGGCATCTGGATGCCAGGTTTGTACACAGTACCCTTTAAATGATCCTATATCCTCCAAGGAGAAAGAAATATCCTGAGGGATGGACATGGACTACACCGATACAGAAGATTCATAAAGAACCCAATACCTACAGAAATTACCTTTTTAAAGGTACAACTTCTCAAAGCACAAGAACTTATCTAAGAGAAGGCAGAATACAGCAAAGGTCCACAGTTCTAAGAAACATTCCTGAAATAGCCCTGTTCTGGACATTATTCATGAAATAGTAATAGAAGAAAATTATCACAAGACCTTTTTCTAACATGTCCAAGGAGAGACCTGATGGTCATTCATCAATGACTTATGTACAGCCTTAAATAAATCACTATATTCTCACTATATTCTCATTCTCACTTCCCCATCTCAAAAACCAAAAACATCAGCACCTATCTTTGTAAAGCATTCTAGATTTCCAAATAAAATTCGTTGTCCTTTATACAGAACTAAGTAAGTAGTAGCAAAGACAGAGAACTATATAAGCAGGAACAAACACAGATGCACTTGGAATACAAGGTATGTAAAATTCCTGCTTCATTACAACATTAGCAGACATAACAATCTTCATTCCTCTCACAAAGGGCTCTTAACTGATTCATATGTAGTCTTAAAACTATCAGCTAGGACCATCACCCTGCCTGGCTCAGTCTGGCCTCCAAAGTATGTAGGGCAGCAATCACCTTTCAGTTTGTCCTTGTACAAAACCCATCCCAAACAGTTCTTAAATGCCACGGTTCTAAATAGTGTAATAATAATCCCAATAAGCAACATATCTGGCCTTTAGAGACTAATGTATATCTAGCACAGGTATGAACAAACAGCATCAAAAAAATATAGATTTACAGAAGTGTGTAAAGCTGGAGATTTACACAGCGCTTGTGGAAGATCATGCTGTTCCAATGATCTAGAGATGAAAATTATTATTTCTGATTCATCATGTGCATCATAACAACGTGCTAACCCATTAGTCCAACTCAATATGGCATGAAGATGTACAAGCTCATTAACTCTGAGATGCAGCAACCTGTCAGGTGATGATGTTAAACTATGCAATCTCTTTTTATCAGTGGACCCAAAGAACGAATCCCAAACTGACTGGTATCAGTGACAGAAGTTCTTCGATTTCTCTGACGTCAAAATTTTACTGGAAGTGTACGTAGCAATTTAGGTTCCTAGCAAGTACAAAAATATTGCGATTGTTTAGATCGTACTAACCTCACTGCCTACTTTATCAGCACTAAGTTTGGAGGTGGGTCTGTAACTCTCTGCTAAGCTGCCACATGCTTCTGGATTGCACAGCTGGCCTGTTTCCAAAGACCTGCAGCTTTGCGTGTCTAACTGCCGGCTCCCCTGTAAGTTGCCCTGCTGTGACAATCTGTGCACATGTACATTGCCATCTGCACTCCTGCTAGCTGGCGGTCGGTAGATTTCAGCGGCAGGACGAGAAGAACCATAAGTTACAGTTACAATAGGTTTCTTCCGTGACAATGGATTCTCCTGCACGAAGTTTAGGTCTTCGTCAATTAGATCATCTGGTTCGGGTTTGATGTCAATTACAGCTTCAGAAGGTGACAATTCCCTCAAAGGCTTGACTGTAGATGTTAAACGGGATGCAGAACCATCTTCACAAGACTGCCTGATAAAACAAGAAATTGCCAACTATTAACTCATCTGCAAATAAAGTTCTGGAAAATAAGGACTGTCTTTTAAACAAAGCCAGCAGGGAAGAATCATTAAGGTATTATTGTTTATACAAATCTAACACACTGATCGTTATTTTTAGTTTGGTTAATTGATCTAAGCCCATCTGTTGCTTAAAGAAATGGAACTGAATTCCTGACTTAATGTTTTTTATGCAACAGATTTTAGCAATGCTTCACTCTTCAAAACTACTTAGATCTTTCCAAGTATCTGTGCTCTTCAGAATGACTGCTACAGTCACACAACTACTAATGTCTGAACGTGTGTTCTTCTGAAGCTTTACCGTGAAGCAGTGCTCCTTTGTTCCTGCGAGCTCGTTGAGACTCTTGAGTCATTTCTTTCAGTCCGAGTGCTGGAAACTGCAAGAGGTGGCAAGATATCCTCACGCCTCCTCTCATCGCTCACACATGAACTGCTTTTGCTGGAAGGAAGGTTGCTCTCAAAGATATTAGATTCTGTAGATTTTACACTAGTTGGTTCTGTGGAGACAGGTACCTTTCATTTTTACATCACAGCACAGCAATACAGATTTTGCAGTAAATGTAGCTAAGAAACTGCGAACAAGACATTGCACAGATCTGAAAACACAATAAGCTGAAAGTGGTTTCAGCTGAAAACATCAGCAAGGAACACCCAGAAATAAATTCTGGACTCAGAAATAAATTCTTTATCTCAAAACATAAAGCAATTTTCTAAAGACTCAGGACCCAAAAGACTACATAAATTGAAAATTAACAAAACAGCCAGCTAAGATCTGTTTTGAAACTCATTAGACACACAACACTACGCAGAAAAGATGAACCTAATTTCACTCAAAATTAATTTTCTCACTTACCAGTAGTCACAGATCGCAACTTATCCAAAACACCATGGAGCCTGAAATAGATGGGGGACAGAGAAGGAAGCAAAAGAGAAAAAGGAGAAATAAAAGAAATGTAACTTACATTCAGAATAATAATCTTTTAGAAACCAACTGCCTTTCTCCCCCTGTAACAAGCATCTCATTTATCCAAGACTTTGCTTTCCATCAATTGATGTATGTTTAACAAAAGGGAGGCTTCAAGTATCTTGCCTCCAGTGAGTCTTCATACATGCAGGTAGGGTATTCATCACATTATCTACTTCTAGCATTTAATTGGCTTACATAATTAAAGTCAGTACTTTCCACTGTTTCACTACAATCAATAGTGTGAGTTAAGTGTCTTCAAAAGGAGTGATTCAAAAGACCTAAGTTAGAAGCCTGAAGTATAGCTGAAAATTTCACTTCATATATGACACTTCAATTACACGGCAAAGTTAAACATAATTGTAAATACGAAGCTAAATAATATACAATTCACAGCACTTAACGTAGAATCACGGAACGGTTTGGGTTGGAAGGGACCTTAAAGATCATCTAGTTCCAAGTCCCCTGCCATGGGCAGGGACACCTTCCACTAGACCAGGTTGCTCAAAGCCCCATCCAGCCTGGCTTTGAACGCTTCCAGGGAGGGGGCATCCACAGCTTCTCTGGGCAACCTGTGCCAGTGCCTCACCACCCTCACAGTAAAGAACTTATAACATAGTAAAGTACATACTCAGGATTCTTCCAGCGTGCTTTGTGTATATCAACAATATTCTTTAAGACATGTTGGTGAGCAAAAACGTTTCAGCAAGGTACCAAATCTGCTGTTTGCCTCTGAAAAAGGCACCAAGCTGAAGCAATACAGAAAATGGAAAGGCTATAAAATAATGCTGTTTAAAAATAAACATGAATTACAGTGAAAAAAAAGGAAAAAAAATCCCAACACTTAAATGCATATCCTACTTGGAATTCAAACCTGATCATGGGCATCTCCATAAATTAGACTGAGTATTAGAAAGGAGTTAAGGAACAAAAACATTGAAAATTGGGAAAAGTAAGAGTGCATGTGAGTCTAAGGACAGCTTGTCAAATCTCCTTGTGAGTTTTCACTAGAACATTCTTAAAATTTTTGTCAACTGAGCTCTGCTGATGCATATCAGTTTTCACAGTGACCTCCAGATAACTGTGACCTGACGCTTGGTTCAGAATAAGAAGTGTTGGCCAACAAGCAGGACTGCCAGGCCTGCCACAGAATTGCTGTGAAACTTCTGCTAGGTGACCCTGAATTACCAGCTACAGAGACAAACCAAGGAAGGCAGACCTTCTTGAGTATTGTATTTAGCCAGAGACCCAATGCTTAGGAATGTAAACATTCTGGGTCATGTTTAGAAGAAACAAAAGCATATAAAACTCCTAACTACAATGCTATTTAACTTTTTTCCACCAGTCCTCTTACAGCTTATTGCATAGGTTTCATCTTGTCTTCTTTTCCATCATGGAACGGATCCTCCTGGGGGCCATCACGAGTCAAATGAAGCACGTGATTGGGAAAAGCCAACACGGCTTCACAAAAGGCAGATCATGCCTGACAAGTCTGGTGGCCTTCTATGATAAAGTGACCTGCTCGGTTGACATGGGCGAGCGGTCGACATTGTCTACTTGGACTTCTCCAAGGCCTTCGATACGGTTCCCCATGGCCTCCTCCTGGAGAAATTGATGCGTTATGGCCTAGACAAGTGGTCTGTGCAGTGGGTGAGGAGTTGGCTGACAGGCCGCACCCAAAGGGTGGTGGTAAATGGCTCTTTTTCAAACTCACAACCCCTCACAAGTGGGGTCCCCCAAGGATCGATATTGGACCCAACGCTATTCAATATCTTCATAAGCAGTCTGGATAATGGGATCAAGTGTAGCCTGATGAAGTTCGCAGATGACACCAAATTGAGTGGGGAAGTAGATGCTCTGGAAGGGAGAGCCACCCTGCAGGAAGATCTGGATAAACTGGAAGAGTGGGCTAACAAGAACCTTATGAAGTTTAACAAGGACAAGTGTAAGGTCTTGCACCTGGGAAAACATAATCCAGGAGTGCAGCTCAGACTGGGATCCACCTGGCTAGAGAGCAGCTCTGTGGAAAGGGACCTGGGGGTCCTGGTGGACAGGAAGCTCAATATGAGTGAACAGTGCGCTGCTGCGGCCAAGAAGGCCAAAAGGATGCTGGGCTGCATCAGAAAGGGCATCACCAGCAGAGATAAAGAAGTCATTATCCCACTCTACTCGGTCCTTGTCAGGCCACAACTGGAATACTGTGCTCAGTTCTGGTCCCTGTTATACAAAAAAGATGTGGACAGGCTGGAGGGGGTCCAGAGAAGGGCCACCAAGATGATCAAGGGTCTGGGAAGCCTGTCGTATGAGGATAGCCTGAGAAAGCTGGGTTTGTTCAGCCTTGAGAAAAGGAGGCTTAGAGGTGATCTCATCACCACGTACCAGTACTTAAAGGAGAGCTACAAAGAAGATGGAGACTCCTTTTTTACAAGGAGTCACATGGTGAGGACAAGGGGTAACGGGTACAAGTTACTCCCAGGGAGATTCCGATTGGACACGAGAGGTAAATTTTTCACAATGAGAACAGTCAATCATTGGAATAATCTCCCGAGGGAAGTCGTTGACTCCGCTACGCTGAACATGTTTAAGACTCAGCTGGACATGGTGCTGGCCCATCTCGTTTAGATTGTGCTAGAAAGGTTGGACCAGATGATCCTCGAGGACCCTTCCAACCTGGTATGCTATGATTCTATGATTCTGTGATTCTTTCAACCAATACCTACTTCGTTACCTGATAAATCACTCTGAAATTGAATTTGTATTTATAAGCAAATGTGGATACTGAATTGAGAACAAAAGACTCATTACATTTGGAATTTACGCAGGTGTCAAAACCAGAAGGAGGTATAATATGTACATATAGTTGATATCCAGTTCTAAATATATATATGTATATACAAAAAACCCCACTGGATTTCTCTTCCCTGCTGAAATTTGCTTTCTCTACATCTTTATTATTTTTTTCAATAAAGTTTTAGTTTCATTTCTGCTACATATTATTGTGTTATTTCTTACTGCGTATCAGGATTCAGTCAAAACCCTAGTACTGGAGTTACCCTCATCAACTTGTAAACCTCACTAATTTGTCTAACTCATTCCCAAAACTACCATGAGAAAGACAACTGCATGACTTACTGATACAGTGAAACCCAAAAGTTTTACCACACGAGGGAACAAAGAACATAAATGCCTGTGTACTTTTAAAAAAGGGGTGCATGCTTAATTACACTTATTTCTTATATTTTTGACAAATGCTGGGAAAAAAAGGAAAACTTTGAAAGCAAACTCAAATTATATCCGTACAAGTAACACTGTCACATGGAAATCCATCACTTTAAATACTTAATACAGTGAATTGTAATAGCTGGAACTAATTTTCCCTTTTTGTCAATGTTTATGGTTTCATAACATACCCAACTTCTAAAATGTTTCTCTCTGCTATTTAATAGCATAAAAGCTCCTAACCAAATAAAGGGGAACTTGACTAATCACATAGAAGAAATACTGGAAATGAATGTAACCAGCCAGTATGAAAATTTCAAAGGAAGCAAACTGAAAAAAGCCAGAAAAAAATGTAGTATTTCTCTAATCTGTACAAAACAAAATAACATTCCTTAAAACTATATTAGGTTAGAGAATCAGAAATAAGATTAACTTGAAAAAATACACAACTCTGAAAGCAAGAAAAATCTCTGGAGTGAAATATCTGTTTGGATACTCTGAAACAGAGTGAATTAAAGGTTTATACTGTAAGCAAAATTCAGTATTAGAAAATGCATGAGAAATATAATGGCTAAGGCTGCCATGCAGCACAGCATAAATTAATCCACACTGTCAGGAGTTTAGAAAAGAGTTCATCTGTTGCTAATCTGTCCCGCTCACAATAATTCTGGGGTTCTACTTTTGTCTTGTAGAGCTGGGTGATGGTAATAAATAAACAGCCTGAGAGGTGGGAATACCTAAGCATTTGGTGCTAAGCCTTGTCAAAGACGGTATACAGAATTAGATCCACTGCTCATCTGTCCTGATATAGTAATTCCGATGCACAACAGCAATCTGAAGCACTATTAGCATAAAAGGAAAGAAGTTTGTCTTTGAAGAACTATTTTACATCTAACCACAGTAAATAACACTCTCATGCTCACAGTGGGCTTTGCAGGAATTACTTTTTTTTAAGTCAACGCATGGCTCTCACTTACCTGAGCATTTCACACTTCATTCAAAAATTTGACTGGACTTGTGAGCAAAGAAAGAACATAAGTCCTTCAGTTCTTTGCCACTTAATTATCACTGCAATAGCCTAACTGTTGACAGACTAAAAATAATTTACTTATTAGACCTGCAAAGTAAAAGTTTTGATTCATGTAAATTGCACGATGGGAAGATAAGTAACTTCTTAAATTCTCAGGTTTCACTTATAGAACGCATTCCTGATTACTGGTAAGAAGCGTGACAAGTAGCTTACAAACATACCAGACAGTAAATCTGACAGTATTGTTTCCAAGGAAAAGGGAAAGGTCTTCTGTCATCTGCTCCTGACTCTTCTTATTGGCCACCATAACCATAATATAATCAGGGAGCTCTTCATCTAACAGAAAGAGAAATATGCTGTTTTAAAGTATAATAAATCATAAAAGACATAGCAAACATCCTTCAACACGTAACCAGATTTTTTTTCCAGTTTTACTATAAAGACTCTGCAGGCAGAGGATTAGGTAAGCAAATTAACAAGATTTCCATTTTCTCTGAGGTTCAGTACAAGTTTCAGCTATGAGTGAGGAATAAAAGACCATCAACTTCACAAGAGAATAAGCTGAAGATAAGATCAAAGTATTTCAAAAGTGAGTAAATAAAACACAAAAAAGACAAGAGAAAAGAAAGCCACGCTGCTGCCTACATCCTTTTACTTGAACACTAACAACCATCTACAATTTTCACACTTCAAATATTGCCAAATATGGCATCTTATCCTTGTCAAATTTCCTTTAGTTACAAAGACCAGATGAATATCCCTTTCTGATTTGTGCATTAAACAAATCAAAACTGTATTAACTTCCAGATTTTCCATCCACAAAACCAATGAATATCTGGCCTTAAAAAACAGAACAAAACAAACCAAAAACAAACCAGCAACCCAAGAGTCTGATTCTCTAACTCCCTAACGTATGCGATTTCATACACAGTGGGAAATCCATTCCCCTGCTGGACTGCTCAAACAGGGTACACCTACTCATCGGAATAGATAGGGAGGTGCTCAGAATCTGACACTAATACATTAAAGGTTTGGGGAGTTTGGTATTTGGCTTTTTACTTTGGCCTAGCTCTGATCTACTTTGAAGGACTGAACGGTGCATTTGTTGCTCGAGAGCACTAGGTATGCTTCCTGAGCAAATATTTCAATTTAGTTTAATCAAACACCTCATGCTCTCCAATACCACTCCATGACATGAACATAACAATGGTAAGTGAAGATAGTTGGGAAATATACTTCAAATTGTGAATTTGAACCAAGGCACTAATATAGCTGTACTCATTTCATCAAGTTAAATCTGTACACAACATTAAAAAGACCTAAAAAATGAAAAATCTTAAATAGAAATCAAAACACAAATCAAAGGAATTGCCTTTCTTCTATGTCTTTCTAGGTACCCTGTAAATAACTCACCTGTACCCTCCATTACTGAAATAACATTCATACGTTGCACCTGCACTCCACTATCAGTATTCAAGTGTTCCAGCATAACACATTCCTAGCCTAAACCCTAACTTTTTTTTCGTGTTTTTTTTAATGTAAACTACAAGTTGCACAAGATGGATGGATACCCAGATCTAGCAATTTAGAATGAAGTTTATTTTTTGGCCAAGCTACTTTTAAACCTGATCAGCTCCTCTGGTGGTTCAGCACATGACAAAGTAAAGAAGAAGATACTTTAAGTATAGATCAAAACATAAGTTAGCACAACTGCCTGCAAGAGTACAATAGAAGAAAGAAAGAAAGAAAGAAAACAACTGCTTCTCTCAGTGACTGTGTTCGCTTATGCCATCTTAAATTGTACGCAAAACTACAGCCTTTTGAAAATTTTGATAGTTGATGAATATTTAACTATCTTTATTCTGCTTCACAGATACAAATTTTTGCTTTGTAAGTTCTATACAACAAATAAGTTTCAACATGTCTTCTTGTAGAAGACTTTTTGGAAGAACTAGCAGTTACAGAAAGAAATAACAGCATGGCTCTTACCCACAGAGGCTAAAATGAGGGAGAACCAATTTTTACCAGTAACGTAAAAGAAGAAATAGAGAGTTTTTGAAAAACATTACTTGGAAAGTAATATAAAATACTCTAGTCACGAAAAGAAACCTGAAAAATGACAGAACTTTGGAAAGTGGTTTAAAAACAAAAGAGAGGCCAAGGGAAGTCAGACTTGGTGATAAAGAATACAAAGTTATTTAAAGAAGTTCAGAAGCTGACTGAGAAGAAAGTGCAGACATTGTATGCTGATCTTGGGAACTGCCTTCTGAATACAGGAAACAGAAAGAAAAGAAAAACAGAGAAAGACTATTCAGCCATAGTTGGAATCAAAGATTACTAGTATTCTACCAGCATCTTGGTATTAGAGATAAGAAAGATTTTCTTCAGAAATGCAGGAAAAAGCAGATAAAGAATCAAGGACTGAGAAACTGAAACCTGGAATCACAGTAAACAAACAAAAACAAGTTACTGAAAAAAACCCAACTTTTGAGGCGGTGAAAAAAGACAACCTTACAATGGAAAAATTATAAACACGGTTCCTTGGCACTTGCTGAGTTCAGAACGTCAGCTCATAGGTAACTCCCTTCTACGGAGTCAATACATTTTGATTCCATAGATACAATGGCCCCCTTTAAATAGGAAATAAGGTGAATTCAAGATCAAACTACAAACTTTGAACTTGGTCCTGCAACTGATGGGATCTCTGAACTATGCTCTCAATTCCTTTCCTCCAGCTGACATCCAAGAAGTATCACAGAGAACAAGGCAGTTGCAGGACTGAGGTATTCTGCTTCCAACAGAACACTGTGCTAAGCTACTAACTTTTACTGCTGTAAAAAAAAGCTGCTCTTAAGTAAAATATCCATTGAATCCTGGATTCAGGGTAAAAAAAAAAAACAAACCACACACAGAGACATTCACACTGCTCATATCTCTCTCCTCACAATCCAAAATAAAACCTCACCCTGCCTCTAAGATTCAGTTACATATGTTTCATCAACATTACCTTAATATATCTCTTAGTTTTCCCCTTAACAGTCAAGCTCCTACATTTTGCGGATTTGTCCTACATAATGTTTCTGACATGGCCTTCCCACCTCCTAAAACAGTCAGCATATCTCTGCCTTACAGTAATATCCTTTCTCCTAATTTTGACAGATGTCTCACCCTGAATTCAAAAGGCTGTTGCAAAGATGCCTAAGAAAGACTGACTCCATCTCAGAGTAGTCACAAGTAACTGCTGTTGTATTTGCAAGGATCTTGCTTTATATAATGTTTCCCCTTGTGCTTCAAAGAAACTTCCTTAAATATTCAGACACATCATTGTTTGTTTGTTTTTCTTTCAAATCCTTTGCCACCATTTCTCCTTGAAAGGGAAGACTGTTAGCCTTCTTAGTTATTTCCTTTTAGTTCTTCATACATCAATGTCCACATACTGCCTCCTCTTACGCTTAGGCTATGCATATTTTGCAAAGTCTTTTTCTTTCATAGCAGTCCAGCACTTCAGATAAATCATCTCATGCTTAAGGCCTCTGTACGCAGTAACACAAGTAATAATAAGTAAATATGCTGTTCCATTAACTAGCTGGTTGTTTTCTATCTAACAACAATGAACCTAAAGAAGATTGCTAAACACATGATAAAACTTACCAACATAAGCCCCCAGCTCCTGCAACTTTCCTTTTATAGCACCCTAAAAAATAATGAAATAGCATTTAAGGGATGGAGCAACAAAGTATTTCTAACTGCAAAACGGAGGGAGGCTTTGCAAAGTTTTTCTCATTGACTGTTGGAACATGTTGGTTTAACACGTTACTTTTCCTGTTCTCCACTGCTCGTGATACAAACGTTGTAACAGTGAGGGACAGACAGCGGAATAGCGAGAACTGCCAGGAATCTCACACTCTCTACCATAATTCCTACGTACCGGTTCCTGGTGCTACCAGACAACCTCCACGTCCCAGCTGTCCTTTTTTTATGACACCATCCGGGCTCATAAGGTGCAAAACCGAATCCCGGATGGTTTGATAAAAGGTCATTCCCGGCTCAGCAAGAGAAAAACCTGCCAGGATTTTCAAACCGTGATTGCCGAGTGCCAGGGCAGCTGACAAGCCCCGACGGTAACGGGGGCTTACACCAGAACGGGTCCGGGCCTGCATCCCAGGCGGGCCGCTGCAGGGCGAAACCTCCAGCTCCAGGGGAGAGACGGCAGCTGCCCTCCGGGATACGGTAGGACCCCAACTCCGCTTCCCAAAACAACGGCTCTCCTGTTCGTACCCCTCCCCGGGGAGCCCCGAGGCCGAAGGCCGCACGCCGCCGGGAGCTCCCGGTAACCCCGGCCCGG